ACTATGTAATATCTGCATAATGAATAATAAAGGAACTGAGGAAAAGACCTCACTTAAAAAAAAAAAAAAAAAAAAAATTTTGTATATCTCTATTGTAAAGCTAAGCCTTATTGTTAAAATTTCTTTTGACTTTATTATCCGGTCCAGGTTGGTTCATTAACCAAAGCGCCGATTGGTTTGTCACATGGTGTAGATCAATATTGCCAAAACAATTCTGTGTTTATGTCCTACTTCGTTCATCCAAAAATAAAAGGTGTAAACAATGCCAATCTTTTGGAGAAGTAAGCTGAATGCCTACTTTTTGTCGATATTTTTGTGAGAGCAGCAGAAAGGTAGAGTAAAGGAAAAAAAAAACTACTTGTATCCAAAATAAAAGAGTATAAGTTTCTTCTACTAGAATCAAATAAAGGCACACCGGAACTTGCACACTATTAAGTTTTCTCAGTGAGTAATAAACTCTGAGCTTGTTGGCAGATAGCATATGAGAACTATCTCTAAACAACAAGTGCTGTGTCTGTCGCTACAGTAAGTAATAAACTCTGAAAAAATTGACAAGATAGCATATGAAAACTATCTCTAAACGATAGTTGCTGTTCTAAGATCCCTTTTCACATGTCTTATCATATCTAGTATAGCCATTTATATTTTTTCTTAGTAAAAGTTTTTTGGAAATTTTTGGTACAAATGATCATCAGAAAGAGTTGTGTTATCTGCAACTTTTTTTAAAATTTAAATATTTTTAATAAAATCTTAAATATTAGTTTTAGCTATATATTTTTTATCTGGCTTATTAGCCAATTAAAATAAGTGAAGGTTATGTGACCTGTTTTTTCAAGATTGCTAGCTAGTCAAAATATGCTGTATAGTCAAACCTCTATAAATGCAATATCTATAAATGCAATATCTCTTTAAATACACATTTTTGGCCTGGCTGTAAAAAATCATTAGTGCTAAATGCATGTTCTATATTCTGCAAATACACGTTCACTTAAAAGATTTTCTATATCATACTAACCTCCCTAAATGCATGTAGCCAATCAGAATTCAGTATTCAAGTTGTGTTACACAAGCCTGCAGATCAAATATTAAAAGCTGCAATTTGATTGGTTTTCTCTAAATGCAAACCTCCCTAAATGTATGATTGAAGCTAGTCCGTATATATTGCATTTATGGAGATTTGACTGTATAACCCAAAACCCAACTTACTTTATAAATCTAATGAAGTAGCAAATCTGGAACATATAAAAAACTAATTAAAACATAGCAAATAAAATTTTTTTTATACAAATTTTTTATTTATAACAATTTTTATATTATTAAACACACTATAGATAATACAATACAACCTTAACTCTAAAGTACTTACCAATATAGTAACATACAGATATAATTAATTAGATAAAATCAATATTGCAGTGATATGCTAGATATAGCTAAAGTAGAGTTTGTACTAAAATCATTGTTATTTTCAGAAATTATAGCAGATCAGTATGATATAGATGAGCTGGTTATTATAGTATAGGCTAATTTTTTTAAATCTATACTATACAGATCAGCTAAAATTATAAAACTTAATACTCTTATATAATGATAATACTAATCTATATAGTATAAATTTGCAAATTAGTTTATACTATACTGATCACACCTATATTATACTTATTAGTGAATCTACTTTATTTTTATCATAATTTACTGTAAAAAAACCTCACTACAGAACTTATAAATCATTATTAATAACACATAATATGTGGTTAAGGTCGAGTTAAATTGTATTAGAATTATCATAAAAAATTCTGTTATAGAGCCTACTTACTATTATAATAATACACCAAATATAGATAAAATAGAGTTAGGCACTCAAAAGGTGTACATGTGGCTTGATGTACTATCGTTGTAATTACATTATAAAACTCCGTCTATACTCTAATAAAAAGTCCCCAGGCCAAAGAAGGTCACTTTAACACTAAAAAAAAAAAAAAAAAAAAAAATAGAGTTGGCTTATATTGAAATTATTTTGTTTCTATTATATTTACTATAAGATTGAGTTGGTTTTGTAGATTATCATCTACTACAAGACTATTGCAATAACACATAGCTTGTGGTCAAGTTTGAGTTGGTTTGTACTAAAATTCTACCATAATTTACTGCAAAAACAGAACCTATTTGCTTTTGTGTATAGAAAACTGGGTATGGCTAAGATAGAGTTAATTGTATTAGAATTATTATAAAAAATACTTACAGACTATTATAGCGTACATGGTGTATGGTTAAGGTTGAGTTGGTTTGCATTAGAATTATTATAAGTTCCATTATAATTTACTATAAAAAATTCTTTTAACAGAACTTGCAGGTTATTGTAATGATGAATAGTATGTGTTAATGTTGAGTTAGTACATATTGGAATTACTGAAAGATTTATTATAAAAAATTCTATTAAAGAATCTACTCACAATTGTATGTAACAAACTAAGAGGTGTGTTATTTATTACATAATTTCTATTATGGATACATGGTCAGGCCCTGATCACATTATACAAAATAGCCAATTGACCAATTATATTTAAAAATATATATATAATATATAATAATATATATATAATTTTTAAAATTAAATAACTTTTGATTTATTGGTCTAATTTGGATGACTTAACTACCAAAATGTTCACCTCAGTGAGGCAGATCTAACAAATCTAAAATTATTAAAAATCTAATTACAAGATCTCAAGTTTGCTAAAGATTTTTATAATTTTAAAAATACAAAAACCTTTAGTGATCTCAAGATCCTGTGATTAGATTTTGATAATTTTAGGCTTGTTAGATCTGCCTCACTGAGGCGAATATTTTGGTAGTTAAATCATCCAAATTGGACTGATAAATTAAATATTATTCAATTTTAAAAATTATATATATACTAGGTAGATAGAAACTATTTAAGTTTAAAGAACTTATCACAAATCAGTCTGACAATGGGTATTTTTAGAGCAAATGTTTGTTTTTATCAATCAACCAATCAAACTCCTTAATTTGTGAACACATACACAACCAGGTCACTATGACTCTCCTATAATGTTCTTTGAATAATTAGTTACACAAAGTTGATCTACAATTTATTTTATATAAATTTAGAAATAGTTACATCTTACTCTCAAGTAAGTCTTAAGTAAAAAGATTTTAATCTTATTCTAAATTAATTTATATAAAAAATTTGGTTTAAAAAATTGTTATTTTTATTTTTTTTTATCAGCATCTAGTTTATATAATTATTATTTGATTTTTGAAAACAATTTATAATATTCTATTTTTAATTACATATTTCTTAATAAATATTCAACTAATTTTGATAATTTTACTATATTAAAATCAGAAAAGCTATCCTACAACCTACTTGAAAATTTAAAGCTAGTTTACTAAGTATAATTTTTTTTAATATTAAAAAAATTATATTTTTACTACTGCTTTATATACAATTTCTCTATTTTTAAATGGAAAATGAAAACCTTCAGCAAATAACCTATATAAATCAAATATATTGTATAATATATAAATAGTTTTATACAAAACAGCAAAATTTAAATATTTTTAAATACTATATTTAGTAAGTTAACAAAACAAAAATTTTAATCAGATTCAATATTAATTGTGTCATAGCGAAAAATATTGCAGTTCTGTGACTGCTGACTAGTCAAAGTAGTCATTTTAATTGTGATTATTACATAACACATTATTTAACTATTTTGATTGGTCAGAGATCACAAGACCGTGCCATTTTTTAACCACATATATATATATATATATATATATATAGTTATAGAAAATCATAGATTTTCAAAAAAAAACATTTTGCCAGCTTTGCAGAATTGTTTGCTTTTTATTTGTTATTTCTACAATGAATTTTGAACAAATTTTGCATATTTGCAAAGAGAAACTTCTAATCAATGATGGTGGTGTTGTACAAGTTAATTCAAAGTTTTATGAATATAACTTCATTACACTGGCAGAATCAATAATTGATCTTAGCAATATTGCAGAGGTGAGCATTCTTATTACACTTCATGTTGATCTATATTAATGAAGTTAAGCTAGCTATTTGTTTCTCATTTATGTTTGTTCACACTTTTAATTTTTATTTTTTTTAGGTTAATAAAAGCTCACAGTACAATTGCAAAGTTATAGACTTAATAAAAAAGCAAAAAAAGAACAATAGTTTCTTTTTGATAGTGTACATGTATTGGATCTTATGAAGATTCTTTGTCAAAATTGAAAAGGTTAGAGAATTTAAAGAGATGGTTGCCAAAAGACCACCAGAGTCTTTCGGCTTCCTTGTCTCTAATATAGAATTTTTACTAACAGCAGTTAAAAAAATAAAATATTCAAAATTGAATATATTTCTTTGCTTTAAAAATCAACTACTCAATTTAGTTAACAGATTGAAGCTCAGTTTTTAAAGTTTAAATGATCTAGCCCTGCTGCATATCATCTAATTAATAACATTAAGAATATAGAAGTAGACAGGCAAGAATCCAATATAGAATTCAACAAGAACAAATTAAAAGTTATGTTCAATGATCATGGATGAACAAAGATAAATTTCAGGAATTCAAGATTTTTTCTATATTAAAAACAACTATACAAAATTTTCACCTCAATGAACTATTATTAATCCACAATATGTAAAAAACAATACTATTGTATTTAATGGAATATTTGCATTTGTAAATTTATTTTAAATGCTAGGCAGTGGAGGAACTTTGTTTTTGATTTCACTGTACTTCGTTGTCTATCTGTTCTAATTATATTTGATCAACTTTATCTGTATTATAAATGAAATTTATACAAAACAGAATCTATATTTACACCAAATAATCAAAATTTTTCATCAACATCAATCAAACTATAGACAAAAAAAAAATTTACTTTCTATATATTAATAAAAAATCTTTTTAATATTGCTATGACTTTCAAACTCTAATAGCAAGAATTTTTAGCAAAATTTTTAGATCAAGTTTATTCTTAAAATAATTTACAAATTTTTATATATATTTATTTATATACTAAGAACAGACATTGTTAAATATTTGAAGCAAATTTAATTATTAATATATATGCTGTATATACTAGTAAATAGAAACTATTTAAGGTCTGAAAGACTTAACATGGATTAGTCTGACAATAGGTATTTTCGGAGCAACTATTGGTTTTTATCAATCAACCAATCAAACCCTTTAATTTGCAAACACACACACAACCAAGTCACTATGACTCTCCTGTAATATACCATCTCTAAAATTTAAAAAGTGCTCCAGAAAAAACATTGTTATTAAGAAATCTCTTTTTTGATTTAATAAAAGTTGTTTATTAGACCTTTTTGGTTTTAATAAGACCAATAGTTTTTTTTTAAAATAAATAAAAGTTAACTAACTTTAATATATATATCTTAGGAACTACTGATCTGAGTATAATAATTTTACTGCTATTAGAACCAGAAAGGTCTAATAAACAATTTTTATTAAAATCAAAAAAAATGTTTACTTAATAAAAATATCTACAGTCAAACCTCCATAAGTGCACTGCGTACAGACCAGCTTCAATTGTGCATTTAGAGAGGTTTGC